CTTCCGCTAATGTGCATTCTGCTCGGGTACCAAACCTTCTAAACCTGGTAGGGATTAGGAGGTCGGGGAGCCCCAGGCATCAGGGATCTTTCCTGTCTGTTCGGCCGACATGAGGTTGGACTTGTCAGGGTAGTGGCCAACCACACATGATAGGGTAGAGATGGCACAGTAGTACCTTCCGAGATTGTGCATTCTGCTCGGGTACCAAACCTTCTAGACCTGGTAGGGATTAGGAGGTCGGGGAGCCCCAGGCATCAAGGTGCTTTCCTGTCTGTTCGGCCGACATGAGGTTGGACTTGTAGGGGTAGTGGTCAACCACACATGCTAGGGTAGAGACGACACAATAGTATCTTCCGCTAATGTGCATTCTGCTCGGGTACTAAACCTTCTAAACCTGGTAGGGATTAGGAGGTCGGGGAGCCCCAGGCATCAGGGATCTTTCCTGTCTGTTCGGCCGACGTGAGGTTGAACTTGTAGGGGTAGTGGTCAACCACACACGATAGGGTAGAGATGGCACAGTAGTACCTTCCGATATTGTGCATTCTGCTCGGTTACCAACCTTCTAAACCTGGTAGGGATTAGGAGGTCGGGGAGCCCCAGGCATCAGGGATCTTTCCTGTCTGTTCGGCCGACATGAGGTTGGACTTGTCAGGGTAGTGGCCAACCACACATGATAGGGTAGAGATGGCACAGTAGTACCTTCCGATATTGTGCATTCTGCTCGAGTACCAAACCTTCTAAGCCTGGTAGGGATTAGGAGGTCGGGGAGCCCCAGGCATCAAGAATCTTCCTGTCTGTTCGGCCGACATGAGGTTGGACTTGTCAGGGTAGTGGCCAACCACACATGATAGGGTAGAGGTGGCACTCTCGACAAACGTTGTAGGTAGGGAATATCGTAAACATACTATAGAAAAGAGATGTCAGGTTGGCATTGCAGCGGACACTAAGGAAGAAGAACAATAATACACCAACTCATGTGTAATAGAAAGAGATGAAGACAAGCAGAATTTGAGCATGTTGGCAGCTTCGGACTTTTAACATTCTCAGAAATTTAAGAAGGCAAAACGTTTGGTTAAAGGTATACCTCTAATCAGATAGTTATAAAGCAAGCTATTATTCGGTTATCTTTTTTTACTTTGTCTGTATACTTCGTTTAGTTTCTCTAGCGATGTGACCTTCAGTTTGACCGGCGCAAAGTTGAAAAGAACAGCACTAGGCCAGAAAAGGAAGGAGACAACTCTCGGCCAACTTCTTAACCGATGAGGAGCGTACAATCCGTACAGTACTGCACGGAAAAGTTGACCATTTTATCAACTAAAATTGCATTGCTCAAATGTGCTGTTATTGGTATCAATTACAACTGAAAATATCAAGGAGATGTTTATTTATATTTGAAGACATATTAAAGGCTTTAACGCTTGTTTTCAACTCGCACTACTATTCATGATTGAACAAAACTTTTAGCAGGTACTGTATGAAAAAGTATGTTTAATGAACAAGAGTCGAGAGTATGATGAGCCTTTTTCTCCCTACCTACGATTTTACCAGTTCGCATCCAAGAAAGTAAACGAAGTATAACTTCGCCAATTTTGATATTAGGAAGAGTAGTTAGACACTCGCCTCCACTGTCCTTCCTATCCTGAGATAATCTTCACATTTCTTGTAAAATCCCATATCTCTAACCATTTGTGATGATTAATTTTATTTTCTTGAGTTACTTAACTTTTAAGATATCGAAAAGTACATAGCGGTCTTTTTTAATTTTATTTTTTTAACATTTTGCAATTTTCTGCAAATATCAGGGTCGTACTATTACTGATTTGTCGAATGACTTCGGTAAATTGGATGATTTATTATACTACGATCTCGCGTCGATGCTTCAACTTGGTTTAGTATTGTAGTACGCTATAAAGTGCTATAGCTCGGCCCAAATCTCTTTAGCACAAACACGTTTATATTCGACAGTTTAATCGTTGAAATCGTAAACTATATATATCTGCAGGTTTAGGAAGCGATCGTGCAGCCGATATTACACCCTTACTAAAACCAAGACGCTTTATATTCAAACCGTAAAAATGGACGGGTTATTTTAATTGCTCGTAAATCTGAAAGGAATTTTTGTTTTGTTCAAATTATCAAACATTTGAAAATACTTATTTAACTGCCTAATACATTTGACTAGTTTAAGATATATTCAAATATTCAAGTAATTCTTTTTTATTTTATAACACTACTAACAACAGAAGCAAATTGGACACTACATAAACTGATTGGTTCCAATTTTACTACTTTTAAGTTTTGTTTTTAGTATTGATTTTAATATTTGTTTCAGGTTTTTGAAGTATTGTGTTTATCGTCAATCCGCCGAGTATGTTAATGGTAAGTTCTAAACGAAATGTTTCGTATATATTCTTTGATTAACAGTAGAAAGAGGTGAGACAGAAAGAAAATTCTTTAAAATGAATGAAGTATGTAAGTTACTATTTCGTTCTTAAGATATTGACTTAGATTAAAAAGGTTCTTAAGGTTCTTACTGTACGGGTAACTGCAACATTATAATATAATAAACATTTACCGTAGATAAGTGTAAAAATTTTAAAAATTTTAACTTTCGATTAAGTCAATTATTGATCAAATATTGTAATGATTACTTATTGATAATGTTCTACTCAAAATTTAATTATTTAGTTTAGAGGAGTTAGATTTTGGCCATCAACTTTTAATTGATCTGAGCGACGAAATAATTGAGATAATATCGTTAAAGCTTTCACTTATCCTAGTTTCACATTATTAAAAGACATGAAATTAATCTAAAAGTTTAAGTTACATTAAATTTGCATTTGTCGCCGAAATCCATTATAACTGTTTCGCTAGCATAGTAGCTTCTTCATCGCTTTTTTCAAAGAAAAAGCTACTGGTGGAATTTTGTTTTATATTGTTTAAAAAGTTCCAAAAATGCAACAACAGTATAGGTATCTAATAGGATATTTTCCTTACCTGAACTAATAACAGAACTGCTACTAATGCCGGTCACAAAAGCGGCTAGCAAAAGTTCAAAAATCACAAAAAAAATCATATTTCCCACTCTCCTACTTGGGTTTCCTCAACACCATTTTCACGATAATTGTATTCCGTCCAGCATTTTCACAAGTTTTACCATAAACCATACCTTTTTCGTACTGAACATAGTCGCGTATAGAATGCGCAATCATGCAACCGACGCTTGGCGTCGCTGTTACCCCGTTAGACGTCGGTAACAAACTGGCTCCACCGCCACTTTAAAGTTGGTTAGACCGTTTGCGCCGCCTCCTCTACCCTCAACTGCCAATGATACCACTACTACAATTCATCCTATTTCGCTTAATTTGCATTTAAATGGACTACATCAAAGATGAAATTTCGGGCTCCAGAGCCGACTGCGTCGTACCCTTATTATTGTACGCGAAGCCGCCTATTCTCCACCAAGTAATTTCTCTACACGTGTAATACCCAGATATTGAGTTCGACAAACAATGCCACCCCACTTGTGTTATAATTGAAAAGCAATTGTTAAAAGGACCCTGTATATATTACGCGAAAGGGAACAGTAGGCGCTTCTACTTCTGATTTTACTTAATCACGGTGTGCTTATCTATTCGAGAACCACAAAGATTGAGAACACATAAAATTAATTAAAATTCTCGTAACACTTAACCTCGTTTCTGTCCAGGTTATGCAATTAGACAAACAAAATGCGTGTAATGTGGGTTGTGGATGAACTATTCTGATGTAGCTGTGACATTTGCAGCGAGCGGCGAATCAATCAATTGTTTTTTACGTTATATCTTGTTAAGATAAAATTAAACGATACAGCTCAGTGAATTTAGTTGAAACAAAATTTATAGAGAAGATATTTAAATACATTTCATTTCAACCCTTATTTTTTTATCGTAGCGCTGACGCCAATTCTGCCGAAAGAAAAATATAAATGTTTTTTCGTTTTTTCCGTGCGATACTGTACACATTAATTCTGCTTGATTTGCATTTTAATTGGGAGGATCAAAGCTGGCGTTTCAGTCGTTTCGACGCCGCAGATCAAGTGACGTTTGTGTGGGAAAAGGGACGATAGTTCGAGAGAGAGAGTGAGTGATGGGGGGTGGAATTAGTAAGGGGTTGGGTGGGCGTCGAAGCGAAATAGGCAGCAGGTAGCATACCGTTGACGTGATGCTACAAACGACGGCGGGCGTCGTGAACATTGACGCTCTTGTTTAGATTGTTGGTAGGTAGTTACCTACGATAACTTTAATTAGCAAGAACAAGATTTAAATGAGAAATCCTTTAAGCCTTTTGTGATTTTACAATCACTTTATTATGCCATAATTAGACAGGAAAAATACAAAGGTTTGATTTTCACAAATTGAAATTCAAAATTTTAAAAAAAATCCTTTCTTAGTCATCGCCTACGTCTAATAAAGAAAGCCTGTGCTAAATTTCAAGTTATTTTATTTTTATAGGTATCTAATATGTAAACTGTAACTTAATTCCTTAAACAGTTTAAAATTGGGGGTTGTGATGCTACAATTAGAATTATAATTTCAGTAGAGAGGGAGGTTGGCTTCTTCATTTCGTTTTTGTGTTTTTAATTGATAATTATCATACTTTTTCCCTAAATTCCTTTTCCTTAGGAAAATGAAAAGAAATGGTAATAGAACTTTTTAATTTTTAGATACGAAATTTTTTTTTGTCGATCTTGCTGGTAACTGATTTATTGAAAACGTCTCAGACAGAAATTTATTTTTGGTTGTAATCCTCGAACTAAATTTCCGGTAGAAGAAAGCTTTTAATACTGTGAAATGGAAAGTTCGTCGAATTTATTGCGGGTATATCAAAAGACATCAAGTCAAGTCGTCGTTACATTTTAAAATTCAATTTAGCGGTATCTCTTTTAGATACTTAATAAGTAACTGAATATAAATTTTTTGCCCCGCAGATTCTATCTCTGTTTATTTGCATTTCTTTAGTTTAGTTTTTCTCTTATTTTCCTTTGTTTGCTTTATTTTACTCGCCGCTGTCATGATATGTAGGTATTACATTTTTACTTATACTTTTTGACTCCCATACTCTCCTTATTTTTTCCTTTTTGCGAAGAAATACAGGACCAATAGCCCTATTCTCTAGATAGAAAAACGTCCGGAATTTAACGTACTTCATTTGCAGCGATCATACACAATCGTGCAAATCATTAGCGTTTTGCGTTGTTGATACACGCGCTGTTTAATAAAGTCTAGCGGATTTAGATCAGGATTAGGCAGCGTTCAAGGTATAGCACCCGTATGTCCATCCGGCATCTAGGAAAATATTCGTCTAGAAACTATTCTGCACTGACCTATGACACTGACACATTGACTTACTTCGATTGTCTACATACGTGATAGATACAAGCCTACAACGTTAAAAAACAAAGAACTACCCTAGGTTAGCTGTAAACATAAACATCGTCATTCACACTTAATCTAACCTAAGAAATAACAAACAATGCAAGAGCACAAAAATACAAATAAAAAACAACACGGATGCTGCTAAGTAACCGCTGATTGAATACGGCGTTGCGAAGTCGTATTTCTCTACGTGATTCTACCAGGGTCGGACTGACCTTTGCTTGTACTTTTAAATACGTTTTCTCGAAATTTTTCGTTTAATTTTCTTGTTTTGTAGTGCCCTATCACTTCTTGCAAACTGGCTACTTATGTCAGAAACACATTGTATAGCTTTAATTTAGTTGTTACCAGCTTTTGAAACATAACGTACTTCATGTAGTTATTCTGATTTAAAATCATCTACTTCTCATAAATCTTTTCGCGTTCGTCTTCCAAAACCTCAGATCGAATTTGTTGTACGAAGTTGTTGTTGTTGTTGTTGTTGGAAAGATCTGCATGTTGTAAACAAGGGCGCAGTTAAAATTTGACGTTCTCTTTCATAAATCGTCCTAGAACTTTTCCACTTTGTAGAGTTTATATTACGGTACGGCGAATAGCTTCTTTATGATCAACCGCTTGGGTACAAAAGTCCTAAAAATTTTCCGCTTAATTATCTTCGGTAGTCTTCCCTACTTTATTATCTTCGTCTGCTACGATATTAAAAATTTATTTCCAGACGTAACAAATCTCGCGGAAAATTAGAATGATGATTTTCCAGCTCAGTTCTGCACCCCGTTAGAAAATATTAATACTGAAGCATTAAAAAGATGAAGTATACAGTATACCTGATAGAAAACGTAACAATCAATAGCATACACTTCTATTTTTTTTTAGGGATCCCTCAGGGTTCGGATATTGGAATTTTGGGCTCTCCCACTTACGCTAACAACATCATAAAGGTATTCCTGTTCCGGTGGTAAGAGATTCCTCAAGAACCTACGGATTTAAACGGATTCATTCACATTACATAACTATTAAAAGCGTTCTTTAGATGGTGTTCCTCAAGGTAGCAAAGGTGGGCCTATATAATAACACTTCTTATGCATATCAAGTACTTTTAAGTGAAAGTCTCATCATCATAAGGTCGTCAGTCCTAAGACTGGTTGGACATGTACCTCCACTCTTTCCTATCTTGAGCTAATCTTCGCATTTCCTTAAAACCAGAACAGCCCACATCCTTAACTATTTGCGAACAGTAATCTAATCTAGGTCTACCTCTACCCCTCCTAACTCCTGTTTCTGTCTCTAATATGTCTCTGACTAGACCTTCATGCCTAAGAAGGTGTCCTACCAACCTATCTCGCCTATTTTTTATTGATTTCCATAGAGTCCTCTGTTCTCCTATTCTTTCCAATACCTCTTCATTTCTAACCTTTTCTACCCACGATATCCTCATCATCCGCCTATAACACCACATTTCGAACGCTTCTAACCTTTTCTTTTCCGCCGCTCCCACTGTCCATGTTTCGCACCCGTACAACGCCGTGCTCCAAACATACACCTTTAACAACCTTTTTCGAATTTCTAAATTAACCGTTCGCGAGCATAGAAGTGACTTCTTTTTATTAAAGGCGACACGACCCTGCGCTATCCTCTGCTTTATATCCCTACTACTCCTTCCATCCTCACTTATCTGACTTCCTAGGTATCTAAAATCAGCCACTTCTTCTAATTTTTCGTCTCCTATCTTTATATTCGCTCTTTCCCTACTTTTTCTTCCCTTGCATATCAGTATTTTAGTTTTACTTTTATTTATTTTCATACAGTACTGATCTGTCAGTACCGCTTCCATTTTATTTAAAGCTATCTCTAGGTCCTCCTTGCTAGATGCTAATACTGCTATATCATCTGCAAATCTAAGCATACTAATCTTTTGCCCTTGCACATCTATCCCTACAGTTGTACTGTCTTTAATGATGTTGATGGCGTCTTCGATGTATAGATTAAAAAGTAGCGGTGACAGTGTGCATCCCTGCCTGACTCCCTTCCTAATATTTACTTCTCTACGTTGCATCCCCAGCTCTATAACTGCCTGTTGCTCTTTATACAAACTAAGTATCACTCTTCTATCTTTGTAATTCATCCCTACATTTTTAAGTATATTTAACATCTTGTCCCATTTGACATTGTCAAAAGCTTTCTCTAAATCTACAAATCCTATGTACGCACTCTTTCCTTTTTCTATCGTTAAGTGAAAGTCTATTTTCAATTTATTCTTTCACAGTTTAATTAATAATAAATTTTTAATTAATTCCTGGGGGCGGGGGGAATTTGTGGCCTCCTCATCGTGTCTGCCCATGGACTAACACACCCCCGGTTCTGACTTTGCATCGCCTCAATTAATCAATTTTAATTATACGTCCCTGTTGTAATATCACCTAGAGGTATATGCATTGTTTTGATTGGATGTCCAACGGGAACCGAACTGTGTTTGCTACGTTTTATGTAATGGCTAATTAAATTGTAGACTGCGTACCTTTAAGGGCAACAATAACAACAATGTTGTGGACATATGGCCTTTATTGTCTACACGTGCGGCAAACGTTAAAACAAAACTGTGTTCTGCTGCTATCAATTAAAGCGCACTTAATTATAGTTTGATTTTATATCACGTAATAAAGCGGTCCAGACGATACAGATGTAAAGTTACTAATTAAAACGGCATCTATTAGTAAATCTGTTGATTGTGGTTTTATCAATAGTTGATAATGAGTAAAATTGTAGAAATAACGTAGATATAGGTACTTCGTTTACTTTCTCTAGCGATGTGCCCCTTCCAATGTCTTGGATGCGCGCTCTGGCAAAATTGTAGATAGGGAGAAAAAAGCTCATTATACTC